GTAAGAAATCAACAGGAGTAAGGCAAAGTGCAAAAGATAAGCTTCAGATAAAATCTGTAGAAAAGAAAAATAACATCGTAAAAGACATATAACAATATATTTCACACAAAGTGAGCTTGTGTGTGATGGTTACTCATAGATACTCTGTGATTTGAATTAGCGTAACATTTTAAAACTGTTGTCTATTCAGGTGGGCTCAAGTAACAGAGGAGCTCAGACAGGCTCTCTGGGAACTTGAAGAGGAAAAGGAGAAGAGGAGGCACGTTGAGGAGGAGATGAACGAACAAGACCTGAAGAACAAACTTGGTGCCTTAATGGAAGAAGGAGAAAAAGAGAAAGCAGCAATGTTTCTGGGAAAGGAAGCTTCTGAAACTCTGCTACTCGCCCCTGATATTGTTCCATTAAAGGAAGAAGATAAACTGGTGGGGGAGCTTGAAAAGGAGGCTGGATTCCCGTCTCATCAAAAACAGCCAGAGCTGCTCGTATCCTCTCTGCAGGAGATAAAGCAGAGTGCAGAGCTCAGCGATGACAACCAGTTGCAAACACTACAGGTAATCCAGTACAATAAGTGGGTTCTGTTAACAGCTCAGTAAGAATATAAACATGTGAGTCTCTGTGTATTTTTCTTTTGAAAAGCTAGAGGAATGTCTATGTCTTTCTTTCTCTAGGCACATTGTGACCATCTCATATCAGAGCTAGAAGAGACAAAAACAAAGCTAAACGCTGCCTTAAGTCAAGGGACCTCAGATGGAACATTTAAAGAGCTTGAAACAACACATGCACAGCTTCTGGATGCCGCAGCAGAGGTGGAGAGACTGCAGAACGAGCTAGACAAGAGCCACATCAATCTGGACAGGGCTGAGAAAGAGAAGAATGAACTGGAATCCCAGATCCTCTGTCTAAGACAAAACCTGGCCAACCTAGAGGAGGCCCAGGCCCAGGCAGTGCTGGAGAGGGATGAGCACAAGAGAAAAGAAGAAGAGATGGACGAGCAGATTAAAAAAATGGAGCAAGTCTTAGAGGAGGAACTTGAACAGTTTGAGATCCTACTAAAATCCAAGGATGTGGAGGTAAGACAGGATTTGAGCATGATTTATTTTAGTTAGTTTGAAATACTACTGTCCCAAAGATTAACATGGTGTACAAATATTTAACAGTTGGCTGAAGAGAAGGAAAAATGGGAGGAAGAGAGACAGGAGAAGAAGAAAGAGCTTCTTGATGTGCAACATCTCATGGAGGAGCAGAAATGGCAGAGGGATGAGGAGGTCAAGGCTTTCCTGGAGAAGCAGGTCCTGGTTGTGGAGGAGGTCAGAGAGAAGCTCAAGACGTCTCACCAACAGGAGAAAAAAGACTTGATGGAGAAACATCAACAAGAGGTGAGATATACAAACCACATACAGGGCATCATTTCATAGATTTATGATGGTGCTCATTTCCCAAAAAATAATCTTA